ATATCATTACTATTGTGGAAGCATTGGACAAGAATAAAGGTGGGCTAACCTTTATTCTTTATTGAAGATGTAGTTTGGACAGCGCATCTATGAAGGGTTGAGAGGACCTCAGTTGGGAAAGGTCTAGCATGTTTGAATGCCCATATGTTTAGAGCCAGTATGGTACGTTTGGGAGTGATTACCCTTACCTTGTCATGTATGACACATCTCCGGAGATGCTGCTAAGCAGGGTACACAAAGGGTGACACACCAAGTGATGTACTCTATGGTTTGGGATGATGTGAAGGTATTTGAGATGTTAGACATAACTACAAGGGTTCCTCAAGGTTGTATCCTTAGATGGAATAAGAATAAGCTCGATAGCACTGAGAGGAAAAGAAAGTAAGTGGATTTACTCTACCCAAAGCTATGAGTTTGGTGTCCCATGGAACAAATCATGATCTTAGTTCGTGAGGGCAAACGATGGACCTCATAAGAAGGGTCAACTCTATGCAACACGGTAACTAAGATAAGGTTTGTGTCGATGAGGACATCGACCAAAGTGAGTAGGGGAGGATGTTAGGGACATCTCATTTCCATGACATTACCCTGACAGTAACTCGATGGTAGGCCGAGTAGATGCGACCGTGAGCCAAGGAAAAGGTTGAAGAATTAATATAGAGGGCATGTCAAGGTAATGGCCTCAGTTTAGACATTCCAACGTGTACTGGTGTCATAGCTGGTAAGTTTCTTTAGCTCTTTAGGGGGAAGTGATATGGTGTTGGGTCTCCACCATCCCCTCACCCTGATATAGCATGTTGAGTTATCATGGTGTAAGCGACCTTCTCCTAGGTTCATATGGAACCCTAAGATAAGGTTTATGTCAAAGAGGACATCAACCAAAGTGAGTAAGGGAGGATGTTAGGGACATCTCATTTCCATGAAATTACCCTGACAGTAACTCGATGGTAGGCCGAGTAGATGCGACCGTGAGCCAAGAAAAAGCTTAAAGAATGAATATAGAGGGCATGTCAAGGTAATGGCCTCAGTTTAGACATTCCATCGTGTACTGGTGTCATAGCTGGTAAGTTTCTTTAGCTTTTTAGGGGGAAGTGATCTGGTGTTGGGTCTCCACCATCCCCTCACCTTGTGCTAGCATGTTGAGTTATCATGGTGTAAGCGACCTTCTCCTAGGTTCATGTAGAACCTAGGTGTGTGGGCATTGGGACCAAGTGGATGGTACGATGCCTCTCTAGAATGATATATAGGGACGGTTTGAGCCAATGGGCCCATATCGAGCTCTTGGTTGAGGAGTGGGGTTGCAACCTAGCATCTGCTATGCCCCGCGAGATCTCTCTTCCAAGAGTACTTGTGGGTTAGAGATTATATTATGGCTTGGTGACTAATATGTGGCTTGTTTATTTGGACAGATTACAGTGGGATCGACTAATGAACGAAATGATGATTCTTAGCCAATGTGGCTTGGCTTCATGGCGAGTTAATTTGAGGCTTCAATTTATGTTATTCAAGTGCTGCACGATATAACAATAGGGTCGAGATGTTATGTCTGTGACATTATGTACCCTAGAGGTTTCATCATCTCTTAGTTTTCTTTTATTTCCCTTTGTAACAAAAAAAAGTTAAACAAAATTAAATTTAATTCAAAAGAAAACTCTTTTTTAAATTTTGAATAAATTGAGCCAACTTAAAATTTTTACTCGAATTTTAAATTTTAATTAAGTTTGAATTTGTAAAGTTCGTATAGATAAAAACATTAAAATTATATTTTTTACCTTTAGCTATGTAATATAATTTTTGTTGGCAATTTTACTAATAAACTATTTACTGTTATAATTTATTCTTAATTCTAAGTTCATAATTTAACTCAATTTAAACCACATTCTTCAACTAGTTGAAAGTACATATACAACTTCAATTATTCTTTTTGACAATAAATTTTTTATTTTTAATTTAATCCCTCAATTCTACATTATATTCATTTGGTCCTCCAACTATAATTTTTCACAATTTCACTCTTCTCATCAATTTATCAACTTCTTTGTTCTCTCATCATTTTTTACCTCAAAATCTTCTTCATAAAATGAAGATATAAATTTGTCTTCTTTTGGTAGAAAAAAGTATAAATATGTTATATAACTCTAGAAAATTTTGATTTTAAATAACATTATAAATTGTACATATATATGTGAATATATATATATATATATAAATCTATTCAAACTAGAATCAATAATTGTCATAACATTATAAATAATTACATTAAAATTTAAAAAGATATTTGAATAAATATGTTTAATTTTATTAGACTCTAATTTCATTAATTAGACTCAATTTTCAACTCTCAATAAAAAAAATTAACTCTCGATAAAATCAATTTTTCTCAACTCGATCAAATACTTGCTCTTACCAATTAAGTCAACATATTATTTTTTAAATCTTTATTAAAATGAAATCAATAACTAATATATTTTCTAAAATAATTGATAATACAACAACAACAACAACAAAACCCAATTCCCATATGTATGGGGTAAGGGGGAGGTAGGGTAGTAGGCTACCCCCAACGCCAGGTTGAGAGTAGCTTCCGTGGAAGACCTCCGGCAGTCAGAAAATTAAAAATTTAGATAAAATGCAATGCATGTATAAATAAATACATAAATACATAGCTAATCAGTATTCATATGCAGTCATTAAAATCATATGTGCGTCTGTAACTGGAATTTATCCCTGTATAATAATCCCTGCGAAAGAATCTCTGCATATAGACAGAAACATAAGATCCGGCTAATTTAAAAGAGGAAACATGAAGAGAATGATACACAGAAGTCAACGTTAGCAAGCCCAGTTCTAATCCTTCATAAATACCAATAACAGAAACGTATTAAAAGTATAAGTCATGGAAAATACTACAAAGACATTAAAAGAAGACAGAGATGATACACCCTATAGATGTGACCCACACTACTCGACTACCCTAGTCTTTAGCCTCCATATTTTCCTATCAGAGGTCATGTCTTCGGTAAGGGCTAAATCCCTCAAATCAGATCTCAAGCAGTCTTCCCACTTTCGCCTTGGTCGTCCTTTCCTTCTGGCACCGTCGACTGTAATCGACTCTACCCTCCTTACCGCATCCGACGGTAGTCGCCTAAGGACATGCCCAAACCACCGTAGTCTTCCCTCCCTCAATTTTTCGGAAACAGACACCACCCCCAAGGACATCCTAATAGCAGAGTTTGTCGTCATATCCCTCAGAGTCCTACCACATGTCCATCGAAGCATTCTCATTTCTGCGGCCTCAATCCTCCTCACGTGATCCTTCTTGGTTGCCCAACATTCTGATCCATACAACAGCGCTGGTCTTATTGCCATTCTATAAAATTTTCCCTTAAGTTTTAGATGGACCTTCTTGTCACACAGAACTCCAGTAGCGGCCCTCCACTTTAGCCATCCCGCCTTTATACGGTGTGTAACGTCATCATCTACACCCCCATCTTTATGTATCATAGACCCTAGGTACTTGAAACAATCCTTTGAGGGGAGAACGTGTCCTTCTATGCATACTTCTACATCTTCATCATTTTGGTTCCCATTGAAGTTTGAACATACATACTCTGTCTTTTCAATATTGATCCTTAAACCTTTTTCTTCCAAAGCAGTCTTCCAGGTAGCCAGTCTACTATTCAACTCAGATTTTGTTTCAGCAACTAAGACAATGTCGTCAGCGAAAAGCATACACCATGGTACACCGTCTGGTGTCGCACAATAGATGTCGTCCATAATCAAGGCGAAGATGTAAGGGCTAAGAGCCGACCCCTGGTGGAGTCCGATTTCCACCGGGAATGCCTCGGTGTCGCCAACTGTAGTCCTGACGTAAGTAGTAGATCTACAGTACATATCACGAATCGCCCGGATATAAGCAGTTGGGATCCGTCTAGTTTCCAAAGTCTTCCAGATCGTATCGCGGGGAACACTATCATAAGCCTTCTCAAGGTCAATGAACGCCATGTGAAGATCTCTAGACTTTTCCCTATATTTCTCCATAAGCCGTCGAAGTAGATGAATCGCCTCCGTGGTAGACCTGCCTGGCATAAAGCCAAATTGGTTTTCCGAAACCCTAGTAACTTGTCTCAACCTAGCCTCTATCACCCTTTCCCATAGCTTCATGGTATGGCTGAGGAGTTTAATACCTCTGTAGTTACCACAACGTTGGGGATCTCCTTTATTTTTATAGATTGGTATCACCCTTTCCCATAGCTTCATGGTATGGCTGAGGAGTCTAATACCTAAAATATTATTTTTGCTCTATTTTAGTACATAAATTTTATTTTTTTTCAAAACAATACCCAACATTTAGTTTATATTTCATTTTGATATCCCAATGTTAAACCAAAATGATAATTTTAACATGTCGCCATAAGATAATATCACATCATTAAAAAAGTTAAAAAATTATCACGTCAACAATTCTATTAGTTTGTTTAATAATGGGTACTAAATAAAAATTTAAACTAAACGTTAAATATAATTTTGAAAAAAAAGTAAAGAAAATATAAAACAGAACAAACGTAATGGTTTTATGCATAATTTTTTCTAAAAAAGGTAAAATTAATTATCAAAACAGAGCAAAAGTAATAATTTAAGTATTATAAGTGCAGTTTACCAAGGTAACACGACGCAAGTTTATTAAAAAGGATAACCCAACACTCAACCACTAAATCACTATCTTAAACTTGTTATATTATGAACAAAATTAATATTTTAATTAAACTATGATTGAAGTTAGTTAATACTAAAATATTCCTAAATTTATTTAAATTATATTAAGATATTCTTAAATTAAATTTTGTTCAATTCAAGCCCCTAAACGATATTGTTTAATTGAAGTCTAAACTTAATTCCAAGACTATGATTCCCCTACCCCCTCATCCCAAATCTATGCTCATAGTTACTACGTTTCAATGTTAATACAACAGGAAACGACAAGCATGTAAAATTTGAGATGATCCGAAAATAGATATAAACTACTATTCAAGTTGTAGAAGATGGATAGTATTTTATCACCTTTTCTTATGGGGTAAGAGCTTAAGTATACAAATGTAAAACTCGAAATATAGAAAGCTATAGATCAACTCATCACCGTTACTTGCGTGCTTCAGTTTTCTTCTGTTCTCTCGCTGGAACGAAACAGACAAACAATATCAGCTTCCAAATGAAATTGCAAATGTGCCTATCTGATCCACATGCATGTTTGACAGATATTCAAGCATGGATCCAATAAATATTCTCCAACAGCCCTCTACATGTATCGAAAGTGCTGAAAAAAAATTAAATTTACTCGTGTCTGACTCTCGATTCTGATGCCAATTCTAATATCATAAAATTTGGAGCAATTAAATGCGTGCATTGTAATAATATAAGGGTGAGATAATTGGTGACAGGAACCATACCGGCCTTCTCTTCCTCTCTCTTCTTGGCAGCCTCTGCCCTTTGTTGCCGTATCAAGGCTAAGCGCTCTGCAATAGAAAAATAAATGCAAACATCAGAAAAATACGGAAGAGACTAGAAATGTAAATAAAAGAGTTGATGTCAAGCCGATAACTTATCACCACCTCTGGGAAAGACTGATCTATATTGTTAGGTAGTAAAGAAAAAAGCAGTTTTGACGCCTAACGTACGCATCTTTGGTTTTGGTTCAGTTCAACTTCCCACCATTTTCAATAAAATATAATATAGTTGTACACAATTTACCTGAGTATAGAACTGTTGGCGGGAAGAAACCAGTTAAAAAAATCCGAGGAAAATTTCTTAGAGGACTTCTCACACATTTCCTATGGATTCCAGTCATATTTTAAAACCACGCATGTATAAGAGTGAAGACAGGTATAGAAATCATGTTACATATCCATACTCTTCTCAGCAATCAAGTACCTCGATACTCCAATATAATATTTGTAATTTGGATAATGATCTTCTACCGATGCTTAGGTAAAACATTTTATCATTTGTGTGTGTCACACTTGCATCGAGGATGGTTTACGCACAACGTACACTACTACTATACTAAGGGAGATGAGTTATTACTATCATTATTTTCATCTCCCTTCTTCAGCACATAATGAAAGAACATAATTTCAACCTCATCTATACATGTTCAAATTCAGTTAACCACAAAGAAGCAAAGTTCCACCGAGGTTGGAAGAGAAAAAAACCATGTTTTAGTGTAATAACATTAGCCAGGGGTATCAGAAGTCCTTGGCAATTTAATAAATACTCAATTAAGGAGGGTAGAAGAGAAAATAATTAATGAATCGAATATTATCCACTAGTTACCTAAATCTTTTCTTGCTTGTTCAGTTTTCCCTTGTTCCTGCAGCTTCATGTATCGTTCATGTGCTTTTTGCTTTTCTATTTCCTCTCTGCAGTCATACATTGTAGAACATGAGCATAATTCAAGTCGGTCTCAAAGTAAATAACTAATTTGATACACCATCAATCATTGCAATAAAAAATTCATAATATGTACGATCAATATAGCTTAAAAAGATGAAAATATACAAGCAAGAGCACCATATTTTGAAGCAAATAAATCTAAAACAGTTTCAGCGAGAGAGATAAAAATGTTCCACTCATTACGTGCTGAAATGACAAGGAAAAATATTATTAATCATATCCCCCACTCCTTTTCCAACTAGGATCAAAACCTATAAACAATTCAGTCCCAGAGGAGGTACTTAAGCAAACAAAAGTTTGTTCCACATGCACATGATAAAGCAGTGATCAGTCGGTTTCATGAAGAAATAGAATTACAAACCTTTCACGCCTTGATAGTTCAGTTGTTCTCCCCATCTGGAACATAAATTTCAAGTTCTCAATACAGTTATAAATCCATTTATATATATATGATTAAGTACAGAATTTGTGCAGCAGAGGAGCATCTGTGAAACTTACATCAACATCTGTAGCTCTAAGATTCTTTTGTTTGGCCAAATTTGGATTATCAATCTCAATAAGCCCTTGGGTACCTTTTCGTTTCTGCCATATTAGAATCAACAGGAAATATAAAAGGTAAGTAAATAGGATATTAAGCACTTATTGTAAATGAAACAAATGTCATTTGCGTAAGACCAAAGAAGGGCAAAATTTAATAACCTCAGGCTCTTCTTCCACTTCCTCTTCAGACTCTTCTTCTTCCTTCACTTCAGCTTCTTCCTAGAATGACAGATAAAATATCATCTCATCAACCAAGTGAAATGAAGCATGGAAAACAAACACATACACATCCATGAAGTGAAGAAGGAGACGCATAAGAACAATGCTACAATATTCAAGAAAAAAAAATTGAGTTTTCTGATTATGTAAACACCTGATGCAAATAATTATGAACCATGAAAAGGAAGAGAGAACAACCATCATCAAATTTATTGTCAATATTAATGAATACCTATCCATTTATTTTCGTGACCATTAAAAGCATCTAAATGTGACAAAGAAAAGATATATTTCAAACATATAAAGTCCAATCCAAATTATCATTTCCTAGAAAATAAATTATAATAAAGATGAAAAATTACCCAAACAACCAAAATCTAAGAAAATTACAACATTCAACCTGTCATCCACCCTACGGGAAAAGGGATCAAACATATCTTGCCAAAATTTGACCAAAGTATCATTTTTGGTTTGTCAAACTAGTATTTTCCTCTTCACAAAAATCACTCTTTTTGGAAAATATACAGCGATAATACATGATAACAACAAACAAAATTCCATAAGAAGAAGTAAACTATTAACAATCAAAAACTAATTTCACCATACATATTAATCTTCAAATATTATAATAACATGTGAATTAAAATTAGCATAAAAATCTTACCTTCTTAAAAGTACGGGGACGAGCAGAGGTACCAGCACCTGAAATCATTAAACCATTTGAACAAAGCAAAAACAAAAAAAAAAAAAAAAAAGTGAGATTGATGGCAGAAGTTATGAAACCTCATAAGAAAAGAACAAAGAACTTTTTTGGTCTCTGAATTTGACTCAAACTACATATTGTCAGCTGACCTGATGAAAATAAACAAAAGTATTTAATTATACAAAAATTTTGGAATCTAACAACTCATACACCAAATACGGAGTCGTTTCTAAGTTCATTAAAAACTAAAACCTAAGTTTAATAGAAGAAAACATTGGATTTCAAAGTAAAAAAATTACCAATTTTCTCTGTTTAACATCTAAAACGAAAATTAAAAAAAGCAACAAAATCAAAACCGATACGCTACAGAAACAGAGTGGAAACACGCATAATTACATAACATGCAAGCGAATTGAAATACACAGAAAGCTTCGAATCTAACAAATCATCCATGAAATTGCAGTCATTTAAAACCTAAAACTTAGTCTAAAAGTAGAAAATTTAAAATTTTAAAATAAAAATCTCTGTATTTCCCTCTATTTAGCATCTGAAAATTTACACGAAAAAGAAGGAACAAAACAAAAATCAATACACTAGAGCTACTGATCCAGCAGTTGAAAGTTAGGTTAGATCGGATACCAGGAAACCGTATGACAAAACAAGTACATGCAAACGAATTCAAAAAGTATATAAATACGAAGAAAATAAAAAAAGATAGAATATATACGGAGCTCTTCGGGAGTCGAGAAGTGGCGGTGGCCGGTGGGCTTGCCCTTGAATTTTCCTCTTCCCATTATACTATTATATTAAAAACTGATCTAAAAGAGAAACAAAGAAGAAGAAGAAGAAGAAGAGGCAGCAAGAAAAAGCAGAAACCTGTGAGGGAAGATTTCTTCTCAAGTACATAAATTTATGCCTCGGAGGTGAAGAATTTAAGTTCGACTTAAAACTTTGAACCTTAAAAGGGATAAACTACCTTTTAGTCACTAAATTTGATAATATTTCTAAATTGGTCCCTGCGTTCTTCCACAACCACATCATGTTCAACAAATAATTACTAGTAAATGAAAGAGTATATATTTAAATATGCTAAATCATGTTTGATATTTAAAAATAATATTTTTTTTACTTAATGTATAAAAGCATAAAAATATCAACAGTCGTTTATAAAAGAAAAGCCTTTTTCCAATTGAATTAGAATCCATTTATAGGATGAAAAACAATAAAAATATATTTAATGGACAACAAAAACATTGGATAAGCATGAATATGTGACGAAGAAAAATCGTAACCCATTCTCTGAAAGAGTATTCAAAGAATAATAATATTCAAAACCATTAAATTAAGAATATATGATATGAACGCAGTGAGCGAAATACATTCTTTTTGCATAGTTTTTATAAAGTAAATATTCCAATGCGAAAGTACTCCATTTCCAAATAATAATTGATGGACTGTTATTCTCTATCAAGTGTAAACATTTTATTCCAAAACTTCAAATAAAAGATGGGGAAAATAGTTTCATATTTTTCTTGAAAATGTGTGAAGTGGTCGGTGCAGTGATAAAATTTTTGAATTCAACTTAAAACTTTAAATTATTTATAAGTTTAAATTAAAATTTACAAAGATCTTGCAGGGTTTAATTTATATTTTTCCTAAAAATGTAAGGGTCTAACTAAAATTTTTGAAATTTTGAAAAGCTTAAAAAGAATTTTCTTTTTAAATTATGGGAGAGGATTTAAATAAGAACATTTAAAAAATTTAAAGTATAATATGAATTTTTAAAAATTTTGGAGGGACCAAATTAGATTTTTTTGAGAATTTAAAGGATCTAAACTATAATTTTTAAATTTTGGGGGTCATGGCCCCCATCAGCCCTGCTTATGCTCCGCCACGTTAGTGCATCATAAAATTTGTACAAGAATAAGGCTTTATTGTTTAAAAAAAATGGCAAAGGTTAATCTAAAGAATGTAGTAAACAAGTCAAGTTTGAGTATTATTGAGTTTGATTTGATTAGAAAAGTTTAAATTCAATTTGGTTCAGTTCGAAAATTAACGAGCTTAGAATTTTTATGTTCGAATCGAACTCAAAATTATAAATTAAGCTTGACTCAAACTCAAAAAAACCGTAACTCAAAAAAGTTCTTAAACGTAATTAGGTTGAAGCTTGAACTTAAAATCGATTCAAGTTCAACTTGAATCTTATGTAAATAAAAATCTTATACTATACTTTTTAGAAAGATAACGTATAAATGTTAATATTATTAATAATTTAAATTAAAAATAAATTTTTAAGATATTATATTTTTTTAATTGCTCGCAAATTTTTTTATATTTGAATATAAAATAATTAGCTTCGATTCGTTAAAACTTAAAGAGGATAAGTGAGTTAACATCTGTACACAAAAATTTATGCTAGAAACAGATTTTATGTCATGGTAGTTGTATACAGCAAGTAACTTGACATCCACCAATTAATCGGAAATTACCACATATCAATTCGGTCAACTCTTAAATTGAATAGATTCAATTCGAGTTTAAACTCAGCTTGAATTATTGACGAGTTAAAGTGAGTAACTCAAAAAAATAATATATTAAATTTTTAGGTTTTTAAATTAAATTATTAATAGTATTAATATTTATATGTTGTTGTTTCTTAAAAAATTACAATACAAGATTTTCATGTACTTAAGGTACAAATTCGAGTTCTAATTTGAGCTTCAATCGAGTTAAGTTTGAGAATATTTTGAGTTCAAAATTTTTTGAGCTTGAGTCGAGATCCAGTATTTGATTTTGAGTCGAGTTTGAACATTTTAAGCTCACAAGCTTTCGAGTCGAGTTGAGCTTCAATTTTCTATTTCGAGTTCAAGTTGAGCTTGACAATTTTAAAATTACGAGTTTTTAGTCGAATCGAGCACAACTTTATACTTTTCGAGTTGAGTTGAGTCGAGCTCAACACTCGAACTCAACCCAACTCTATTTGTTTACGGTCCTATATTTCCAACGATAACTGAAATTCTTGGTACAGAAGTTCATCAAATAGTATAGTGTGTTGTAACAATATATAGTCATCAAAGACTCATTCTATGGAATGCAATGCATCAATTTCATCAAATAACCATTCACCAAACATTATGTTCTTGGTAAATAACACAAACACCAACAACCCTACAAGAGGTCGATTGCATGATCCCTTTCCAAAAACATACCGAGACGATCAAGCAAGGACTGGATGCACGATACCTTTCTGAGCAACCTTGGATTAAGTTATTGTATGGGATGTGAAGCCTCTGCGTATCAGGACTGGCTACCATATCATTCCAAAGCAGATCGGAGAGTGCCATTGTCAAATATTCCACTTTTCCTGCAACAAGGAAACTTATTACATATGCGACGAATAGACGTGCACAAGCAATAAAATAGTTCGATTCTGCTAAAGAAACACTGTATAAAGCACATTGGGCTGTGCTTCAAGGCTTTCAAACCGTTGAAATCGTACATACCATCTTCGATGGGCTATTCGTCCACATGATTATCAGTAATATCGGTAGGGTGCTTCCTGTATACATCATTTTGGACGAACGTTTGCCTACTTGGTGATAAGATTGGTGGTTTTGACACTTTTAAGAAGTCTTTGCTCCACCAACTTAGGTGCTAATTTGAGAAGCGTTTTTGCATTACATCCGCTTAGGATCTTATCAAATAAAGAAAAATAACCTTTTTATCGCTGGTTATGAAATCCACATTCACGTTGGGACCCTCTGAGATGAAATCGTCGTCATCAACCCATATAGAAGAAAATGCACCCTTGTCTTCAGCTTCCTTTATCGAAAGAACATTCGACAAGTAATTCACGTTTTTCATCATAGCGAACACAAGTGATTTCATAGGGATAGTCGAGGTTGTCACTTTAACCCCGTGTTTGTATTGCGGGACGGCCTCGTCTATGGCCACAGCGTAGAATACGGGTGTAGGGCATCCTGCAGGAGAAAGCAGGAAATTACCAAGACTAGCACTCAACCAGTATTGCAGAGTTCCTTCCTTCAATTTCGATGTTAAAGTCAGTTGCACGAGAATACTACGAAGAGTTGATCAAGAAAACGGAAAAGTGATTATTGCATTCGATGCCGATCGAAGGAAGCCGTCTAAATGAGCATCCATCACATAGAGATATCTACAAAAAGAAAAATGAACACGATAGTTTCTATTAAGCTTTATGAATTGTTATAATATCAGAACGATGATTATTGGCAAACAAATAAACACAACCGAAAAGGAAAAACAAAGAACACCAGGATTTACGTTGAAAATCCAAAAGGGAAAAACCACAGGTAAAGGAGAAGAATTTCACTAATATGAAGAAATAAAATACAATAGGATTTTGTTTAAAGAAAAACTTGATTTTTAACCCCGACCCTTAGTATCTATTTATAGGGATATATACTTGATTACAAATGAAAACTAAATAAAGTAGAAATCTACTTTAATAAAATTTTCTACTTTTAACAAAACTTGGTGTCCTACTTTCCCAATAATTATATATTAATTAATTTATTCCACTTTGAATTCAAGTCAAACTCTAACAAATTTCCATCTTGACACGAATTCTGAAAGTGCAAAGGTTTCGAGACAACACCCAAATTCGATGTGACACCCAAACTTAACAAAAAACAATTATTCACTTCAACGAACAAGTTCTCCACCTTTTCTGCAACACCCCTCAAAGGGGTAATCTTCAGTAAAAGACACCGATCAAGTCCAAGTTTTTTCTAGGCTTGGATTTAATCTTCACATCGACATGGTTATCATAAGTGTAAAGTTTGCTCACAAATGTTTCACCACGAGAAACATCATGCACAACACGATCCTTATGTTTTTTTCTCTTTTTTCCATTGTGTTACCGGTTTCTTATCAAATCATTCTATTGTATCGTCGAGATCTAACTATGCAAGAATATCTCGAATATTCACCTGTCATAGTGGGAACCTAGTGTTTTGGTCTAATAACGGAATATCATACTTCATTGTTGCCATAATCTTGAACTCGAAGTTCTGATACCAATTTGTTAAAATATCAGAAAGATGATTATCGGTAAACAAATAAACACAATCGAAAAGAAAAACAAAGAACACCAGAATTTACGTGGAAAACCTAAAAGGGAAAATCCATGGGCAGATGAGAAGAATTTCACTAATATGAAGGAATAAAATACAAGAGGATTTTGGTGAAAGAAAAACTTGATTTCCAACCCTGGCCCTTAGTATTTATTTATAGGGATAAATACTTGATTACAAAGGAAAACTAAGTCAAGTAGAAATTTACTTTAATAAGGTTTTCTACTTTTAACCAAACTGGGTTTCCTACTTTCCCAATATTTATATATTAATTAATTTATGCCACTGTGAATTTGAGTCAAACTCTAACAAATATCTTGTTATAATATATAAGCGGAAAAATAATCAAAACGATATCAACATAAAATAAGATATGCACAGGAGACGCGATTTAACGTGGTTCGACCTTACCTACCTTCACGGGGGAGATGAATAATAATCTACTACAGATGTAGAGAACACAGAGAGTACAAGTACATGATATCACATGTATCCCTAAACCCAATATAGATACCAAAACTCGGTGTATCCCAAAAACTCTCTCAATCCCTACAAAACTATCTCTGTAACATAAATCCTAAAAGTTATAGAGATCCCAAAAAGATTACATCTTTCCAAAATAGTTCTCTCTCACTAATTAGATTATAACATTATCACTATTTATAAAGCTAAATACTTGATCACCAAGAATTCTTACCTAAAAAAATTACAACAAAATTCAACTTAATTACTAATTATAATTTGGGTCAAAATATAATAAATATCCCCATCGAC